GTGATGTAATGCTAAATTTCTCCAAATCTGTTGTGATGAAGAAACATCAATTAAAATATCTGTTTTAATGCTTTCATATTAGCAAGCTGCAAGACCATGAAGGATCATGAAATTAGTTTAATGGTATTCTCTTTAGGAAACTTAATGGCCAAAAAAGCACATTATGTTTATAATGTTGCATAATTGTCTTACAGAATTGCATGTTTCTTGAATGTACTGTATCATTCAGCACTAACAGTTAATACACTTCAAAAAACAAATGCTTGCTGCAATTAGGGCAAAAGCTATACATGCTGGCACTTTAAGTGGACAAGAACATCAAGCGTTTAATGGGATGTGAAAACTGTTCCGTGTTGAATGCACACTGGAGCTTTGAGAAAAGAATCTGACCAGCTTTCTGAATTCTAGTTCTGGGTGAATAATATTGTTTGTGCCAAGGGCGATTCTTGGATCTCAGTCTTAAAGGGACTCAAGCCCCCTACGTGAATGTGAGATTTTGGGGCTCTGAGGAATAGTCGTCTTTTTAGCACGCGAGGTCACAAGGTCAAATCTTGCTTGATGGAAAATTGTTTAAATAAACTAATATAACTGACATGACGATGGCAAGGTTTCAGGTTTGATTCAGCATTTCATTTGCATTTTTTTTTTTATGTAATGCAGCATTTGTTTTAGAGAAGAAGTCAGTTCATTATTTTTATGTTGTACAGGTTATGTGCTTGGAGAGACTAGTTCAACAACTTTCAGGATTTCTTATTTCTTTTTTTTGCAAGGTCATGCAGCTGCCAGCCTGAACATTTACAATGAATCATAAGTGATTCCAGGCTTTATTTAATGGTGCTTAAGCCCTGTCTTTCCTATTAGTCCCCTTAGAAATATTAGATTAAGCTGGCTCTCAGGTGAACGTTTTCTCAGATAATGGCTCTTAAATAATTTTATCCATTCCAGTGAAAAAACATATTTTAGGAATGTTCATTTGATTTAAAAACATGGTTGTTATGATTGTCTCGACCTTTGCTGGTAGGGAAATGTAGAGCCTGGACCTCATGGAACGTTAATTGAATACCGCTGGATGGTGGTTCATGCTCTGTTAGGACTTATTATTTTGTGTTTTTCTGCAGGGATTCACAAGGATTTGAAATAATTTGTAACATATTGAAGCATAAAATGAAGTGTAATTATCTTGGAGGAGAGGCGAGAACTCAGCCAACCATATATTAACACATGCTGAAATTATGACCTTCACATTCTTACATAATCAGCTTCTCATACACATGAGCCAAGAGAGGAAGCAAATGAATATGTACAGAATGAGGATTTACAACTATTATTTATTCATGGGGAAATCATCATTATTATTATACATATTTATTACTTGAACTTTTATATTACATGAGGTGGTCAATCTCCCATCATGTACCTTGAAACATAAGCTTTTCTTGCCAATCTCTTTCTGTCAGGTACCGTTCTTGTGGAAAACATGCAGATCAATGGTCGCGCTCAGGATCCAGATAGAACCATCTCCTTGACGCTGCTGGACAACTATGATTACTGGGTTATCCTTGACCCTGCGCTGCAGAGACTGTATCTCAACAGCACTGGACGAGTGCTGGACCGAGACGTGAGTAAACAAACACACACAATCTGTCAAAAATAACATATTGCTACTGTTGTCCTTTGGCTGGCACAAATAGATATATATATTTATATGGCAGTCTGCCTGAAGCCTCTAAGACAAACAAAAGCTCTAAAATAAATTCTGTCCTGATTGGCAGCAAAACAACACACATCACGGTAATGAGATCATAGCAGCCACACAGAACTGCAACATTTTCTTAATCAGTATTTTAATCTTTCCAATAAAATATTTTGACATCCTCGAATCAAGACGTACATACTTATGCAAAATTGCATGAGATATTAAAGGGGACATCGGATGTTTTCCACAATTTGTTATGATTGTTTAGGGTCTTCATGAAATCGTGTAAAAACAACACCCTTTTTACCTTGTCAAAAACAGCTCTGTTTACAGCGACTCGTTTCAGTGCATGTCTCTTTAAATGCTAATGAGCTCTCCCTCTCTTCTGTGGAAGAGGAAAGGCGATTTGCAAATAATCATAAAAAATATAAAGTGTGAGACTTCTTGAGGTGCAGCTGGATCACAAACAGTTTTAGCAAACACCATGTAAAAGTGAATTTTGCATCCGATGTCCCCTTTAAAGTCGCCATGAATTCCAAATGGACAATTCTTAATGGAATATTGCAGTGTTTATTATAAATGATTTATCCGTGCACATCATTAATTTTTTTAATTTCATGCACCCTCATAATCTTTAATCAAAGAATGGCTTGCAACGACATCTCTTTTCTCTGACAACATTTTTACCGCCGCGAAGGTGGGACAACCTGTCACTCAACAGGGAAGAAAAGATGATCTCAACTTCATTTTCATGCCGACTTTTCAGAGAATATTTCTTAAAGATTTTTTTTTGTTGTTTGTTTGTTTTAGTATATCAAATAAATGTATTGTATTTAACAGATATGTAGACATAGTGTTAATTATAATTATTAATTAATCAGTCAGACAGTAATTATCCTTTCTATTGTTATTGTTGTTGTTTGTTATTATTGATTTTGTTGTTGTTGGTATTGTTTTTACCAGAAAACAAGACCAAAACATTTTTATATAAAGCATTTACAGTCATTTCAGATTCATATAATGTAAGTAAATAAGATTGTCTTTGACTTTATCTTTATTAAGATATTTTTTAATAATGTTTTTGGATGTATTCGACTGTGCTCTCAAAGTGCAATGGACTGCTCTACAGTACAAGAACAGCCAAGTCTTCCATCAAAAGGCAGGAGATTTCACTCCCACAGCCGCAATATGAGCATAGCGATTTCTCCAATTCCTTTTTCCACAAGTGCTTCATCTCCTCCCTCTTATACTGTCTGTCTGTACATTACACCAATCTTCTAAAAAGAGGCTTGCTAGCCCCACACATGTGTCTGTGTGCTTGTCTGAGAAGCATTGTGTTAGTGACAGGCCTTTTATGACACTATTGGATAGTGATTAGAGGCCATATCCTCCTCCTCCTCGTCCTCTTTACGAGGCTTTGTGGGATTCAGCCACTTCACTCAACAGCTACACCGTTTGTTTTATTCAGAGTACTTGAGGCCAAACACCTTATTTACCCAAAAGAGAATGAGCAGAATTGACATTAATCCTGTTTGCATTGTTACGTAAGTTATGTAATCTTGTGCATTCACACATCCAGGCTGATTGGCTGTATTGTTAATGCACTTTGCTACAGCTGGGCACCCTAATGTTATTGATCACTAACCATAGCGTTTGAAAATATCACAAATGGTTAGTATTACCATATATCTGTAACGCCCCTGTGGACTGTTTAGTGTGGTTTCTTCCCCTTTTGTTGGTTTAGCCCGTACTAATCATTAGTTAATTACCCTCATTGTGCTCACCTGTCTGCCACTAATAGTCCACCCTTTATTAGTTCCTGTCTGTCTGAGCCTTACGCCTGTTTCACACATACTCCGTCTGCAGTGCGTATGCGGTCCGTGTGCGTTACGTATGCGGTGCAGAAGCAGCACTGACTCATTGTGCTTTCACACAGGACGAGCTTGCAGTCCGCTCCTGATCCGCGGCTGTTTACCACAAACACAACATTTATTCATTATTTAGATTTCAAATCCAAACGTAGTTAGCCTATACTGAAAGTGCTTTTTCAGCATTGTGATCCTCTTTTATATCTATTTATTGTGAAATTACTACATTTCAGTCTCAATCCATGTTCATTTTTACCGCGAACAAAGCGCTGTCACTTTAATTCAGCGCGTGCAGCACAGCAAAAATAGACTCGGTGCGTAAACGATCGCTGCACTGCTGCAGACGCACCGCACCAGGAATGCACTGACGGACCGCAACCGCGCGCAGTGTGAAAGCTCTAATCTGTTAACATGGGTGCGTAAAAAAAACCGCAACTCACACGCACTGCAGACGGAGTATGTGTGAAACAGGCGTAAGTGTCGGTTATTGTGAATGTTACCCTGAGTGTGTGTGTCTCTCCTTCCTGTATCTGCCTGGTTGTGTCTACACTGTCCCTGGCTCACCTCACGCACTACCCGGACAAGGGTATGCCTCTGCACATTCTATCAAGTTGGACTTAACGCCACCATCCAAGCGCAGTTGTCCGGGAATGGTCCTAGAGAGAGCCTCGCCACCTTCATCGAGTGGGTGCTGAAGGTGCACTCAGGACCCTGAGCCCAGCCCACCATCTCCCCGCGGTACGGAGCATAAGCCTGAGCCCACCGATGACGGAGAGCCATTTCCCGCTGTGATCCGCGAGCCTGAGTGAAGCCAAGCGACTGAGCGGAGGATCGCCTCGGATGTTGAGCCCAACCTGTCAGACCAGGTGCGAGAGCCGGTGACAGTGCCCACCACGAGGGAGCAGCCTAGGAATGGCTCCCGAGCCCCTGTCGAGCCTAGGAATGGCTCCCGAGCCCCTGTCGAGCCTAGGAATGGCTCCCGAGCCCCTGTCGAGCCTAGGAATGGCTCCCGAGCCCCTGTCGAGCCTAGGAATGGCTCCCGAGCCCCTGTCGAGCCTAGGAATGGCTCCCGAGCCCCTGTCGAGCCTAGGAATGGCTCCCGATCACCTGTCGAGCCTCGGAATGGCTCTCGACCCCCTGTCGAGCCTAGGAATGGCTCACGATCCCCAATTCAGCCCAGGAAGGGCTCCTTATTTCTCGTTAAGCCCAGGAAGGGCTCCTGATTCCTCGTTAAGCCCAGGAAGGGCTCCTCCACACACCGTGGTCGTGACAATATAACCTTGAATAAATGTTGTCATGAATGTATGTTTTCAGCTGTCACATCTCATCTGCAGGGGCCTTGTTTTATGATTCATGGTTTGCTTTGAACTAATGCAGTAATCTACCGTTATTTTTGTTGTATGAAAGTATGTTTTCTTTATGTTCTATAAACCGCTGTATATGTGCTTTCTTCCAGCCACCCAGTTACATCACCACCATCGTGGTTCAGATTCAGTGCACCAATGAGCTGGTGGGAACAGTTATTCTGCATGAAGTACGGATAGTGGTGAGGGACAGAAATGACAACACACCTCGTTTCCAGCAGCCTCGTTACTATGTATCAGTTAATGAGGTGAGGCCTGATCACTTATGCACTGCCTCATTTACTTTCTGTCTCTGTCTCTGTCAATTCAGTTTCATTTGAATGTGCATAGTATGCTAATTTTCTATATAGACAAAATGTGCAGTACAACAGAGCATTGAGGTGGGCATTATATCTGACAATGCAATGTGACGAATGAACCAGTAAGGAAGTACAAAAACAGTTTTGAAAGTTCAAACTTTTGGAGTCAGTAACATTTTTAAAATATTATTAATATTAATATTATTGTTATTATTATTTTATTATTATTCTTATTAAAGAAATTAATGCTTTTATTCAGCAATGATGCATTATTATGTTTAATTATGTTTGATGTTTAATTTAGTGAGAGATATGTGTTATCATCACAAACGAACTAACAAAAACTACCAATCAAAATTTGGGGTCAGTAAGTTTTTTTTTTTTAAATATATATATATATATAAAAATGTATACTTGTATTTAGCAAGGACACATTAAATTGATCCAAAGTGACAGTACAGACATTTATAACATTATAAGAGATTTATTTTTCAAATAAAGGCTGTTCTTTAGAACTTTCTACTCATCAAAGAATCCTGGAAGTGTCACAACTATTTTCAACATTGAAAATAATAAACAAAAAAATCTTACCATACTCCAAAATGTAAAATATTCAAATTAAATCAGAATGTGAGTTTTGTGGTTTTTAGGGTTTATTCACATAGCACTGATAAGCAATATCAAGTAGCAAATCAAGGCTCATTGCTGTGACAAACTAATTCATACTCGTTATTAAAAAAGGCTTGAGCTCTTTGATATGTCCCAACACAACTTCCTGTTTCAACAAGAAATACATCAACACGGGGAAGAAAACTGCACTCACGAATGAAAAGAGAGTAGAGAGTGAAGCGGACACATTGTATAGTCACATGACATCGTTGTATAGTCTGTTGGCATGCTCCATCAGTTATTCAGATCTAAAACCATCCCGTTTTGGCATCGGCTCAAAATTATACTTAAAATTATGCAGGCACACACACCCTTGACCCTTCTCTCCACAAGTTCAGGTATGAGGACTATTTTTAAACTTAATGGCTTTCATTTATTTGGAGTACGTCTGAGTATCTTCTGAGAGTGTGTACGTGTTGGGTGTGTAAAAGCTTGGCTTCTTTATGCTTGTCAATCTCTGTCCTCTCCTTGAAGTCAAAAATGCTGTTATCAGGTTAGATTGTCAGGTTGGTTTCCAAAAATTATTTTGGCTTCATGTCCAATGTGGGAAAGAGTCTGAAACTGTGTCTTCAGTGATTCAGTGTACCATGCTTTAACATTGGCTCAGCCTCAGTGTGTTTTTGATGTTCTCTAGCAGAGAGCAAATTGAAGGTACATTGTACAATTGTGGTCACAACAGAAAGACTTTCAAATGGCTGAGTATGGCTTTATAGAAAAACAAATTATGGTTTAAAACTGTTTTAGTATGAAACATCTTATCAGTATTTTCACTTATAATTTTGAAAGTCTCTAGGAGCATGAAAGTATACTTTTAAATAGGCCTATATATATATATATATATATACAGTGGGTACGGAAAGTATTCAGACCCCCTTAAATTTTTCACTCTTTGTTATATTGCAGCCATTTGCTAAAATAATTTAAGTTAGCATCTTTCCCAATAAGACTCATGGCTGTATTAGATCAAAAGGGTGCTTCTACTAAATACTGGGCAAAGGGTCTGAATACTTAGGACCATTTGATATTTCAGTTTTTCTTTTTTAATAAATCTGCAAAAATGTCAACAATTCTGTGTTTTTCTGTCAATATGGGGTGCTGTGTGTACATTAATGAGGAAAAAAAATTAACTTAAATGATTTTAGCAAATGGCTGCAATATAACAAAGAGTGAAAAATTTAAGGGGGTCTGAATACTTTCCGTACCCACTGTATATATATAAGTAACATATATTTTTAATATTTAAAATTAATATATTTCATATTTAAAAAATATTAAATATATTTTTATTGCTAGAAATAGCAAAAAAATACAATTACAAACAATACAAACTATTTATTGTAAAATACATTTGACAAATTGAAATAATATAAAAAGATAATATTCAAAAATGAATTGGCTAAAATATAATATCCTACAATTGTTTAATGAGACCTTCTATGAAATAAGAAAGGGAAATTCATTAATATAGCACAGTAGGCTTAATATGTTATAAATCAATTTGCTTTTCAGAAAAAGATAGCAGATGGTAGATAGCAGATAACCTGTTATTATAATATCAGTCGTGTGTATTTGTGTGCAGGCATATGTGCAGGTTTTGCTCTCTCTCTCTCCTTCCATTTTGATTTTAGGTTTTTGTTGTCTTCTCTTTGTTTTGATCTCCTTGTCTTTTTCTTTGTATTTTCTTTCTTCCTCTTCTGTCCCTGTCTAGTCTGTCTTCTAAGGGGTTCCAGAAGGAACACACAAACTCACACATACACATTATCTGGGTCAGACGGGTCACATCTGAGGCTTGTCAGAGTTGCTGTGTTGTTACACAAGCATATAGCCAGTGTCTGATGTTTGTTTCATGTGTTTTTTAATGATATCTCTCCAGCTCTCTCCCGTCGGTACCACCATCTTCACCGGCTTCTCAGGAAACAATGGAGCCATGGACATCGATGATGGACCAAACGGACAGATCGAATATGCCATTCAGTACAACCCAAATGACCCGGTACTTCATCCGATCAAACAGACCTTCTGCAGTTACACTCAAGTTCTTCATTGTAATTAATGATTAATTTAAAGCAGTGACTTTATGGGTGAACTTGCAAACTGCAATGTTTTATTTAAAACAGTGCAATCTTTCTCTGTTTCTCTGTCTCAGATGTCAAACAGGACTGTGCGTGTTGCTGGGACTCTGTCTGGTAACATTGTTTTGGCAGAGCGGCTGAACTATGAGGAGAGAACTCGCTATCTAATTATAGTCCAGGCCAATGTAAGATATCCTTCACTATCATACGATGTTGTTCCTTTACTCTTTAATACATTAAAGAGGAGTGTTTCAGGGTAAATACAACTTAAGCTATAGTGGCATGTTGTTGATTACCACAGATAACCTTGAAAATTATGTTTGCAATAACGCACTAGAGGTCGACCGATATGGGTTTTTCACTGGCCGATGCCGATATTTAGAAATCAGGGCAGCCGATGGCCGATATATGATGCCGATTTTCTTATTTTTTTTTCATTCATCTCATAAAAGTGAGTTTGAGCCAATGATTATTGCAGGGTACAAGATAGTAATAGTAGTAGTAGCCCAATTTAGTGTAATAATACATGGCTCAAAACTTAAGCACCTTCTCAAAACAGTTCTGAAGCATGCTTTTTGTTTATGTTTGCTGACAGACACCAGTGTTTCCCACAGACTGCAAATTAATTCTCTGCCAGCAGGAGGTGCTTTGGGAGCTGGAGATATAGTGGTTTCCCCGGTAACGGCTGTAATCAAATCAGCGCTCCGCTCACAAACGCTACTTTATCAGGCATTACAGGAAAGACAAAATGAAAATGACATCGAAGCTTTTCTGAAGACAGTCGGTTCTATTCAAAGATACATTCATATAAAAACACCCGTGCTGCATTTTAATTTTTAAACGTGAAGCGCTCATTTTATTCAACGAAGTATAAGCCTTTTAGAAAATCTATTTGTGGCAGTCAGTTTTGATATTGTGACGAGCCGCCACAAATAACTCAATGTATAGGAAACACTGGACACTGCTATAAGTCAAATGGCCATAGTGATAACAAAAATAAAAGATTTCACACATATTACACAGCCTGCTGCTCATAACTGCTTAAGAGTGCGCTGGCCACGAGCGATGAGATTGTGGATGCTATTGTCGGACCCACACAGACATTTCATGAGGAAAGTTAACATGCACGTTATAATCAGCCCAGAAGTTTCGTCTGAATTGAACGTGTTTCTACTTTCACATGCAAATGACTTGTTGCACTTATGAATATGATAACTTTCCGGCATCAATTCTAGTAGAGTAAAACGTAATTCCGTTTTCTAAACGGTCTGTTTTGCCCTGCCATTAACTGAAGCTGTGTGTGAACAAGCCGCGCCTGCAGAGTGTGAGCTATTCCGTCTCACGCAGCCTCAGAGGGAGTTCTGCAACAACGCTGCCCGCCGATGCGCCTGCCTATAAATCGGCCTAATTTGCAGCACAATCGGCCGATGCCGATTAATTAAAAAATGCCAAAAATCGGCCGATTAATCGGCCGGCCGATCAATCGGTCGACCTCTACTTACAGTACAAAAGATTGTTGATGTCTTTTGGGCAAGGCCCAACGCTGAGATAAATGTTAAATACAAGGTTTTGAAAATACAGCCACAAAGCTTAAACATTATAGATATTCATCATGAGACTAGTGTGAAATAAAATCACTTAACTAACCATGTAACCCCAGGTAAATGTTGTTGGTAAAAATGTGCTTATTTATTTATTTGTTAGTTTGTTTTTGTTTTTTATTTATTTATGTATTTATTTGGATTTTTGTGTTATTTATTTGTTTAGCTACAAAAATTATTTTTTTGTTCATGTGAGTTCATTTGAGTTCATGTTTGTGAGTTTGCATTTGAGGGTTTACTGTATGAGTTCAAATGTGTACTTCCAAGTTTTTAATTTTATGAGTTTATAAGTTTGATTTTATTCTAGCAAGTTTACTTTTGGGAGTTTGTTAGGTTGCATTTGTGGGTTAATTGGTTTGAATTTGTATTTGTGAGTTTATGGGTTTGAATATGTATTTGCAAGTATATGTGTGAAAGTTTTTAGGCTTGCATTTGTGGGTTTATGAATTTGAATTTGTACTTGCAAGATTACGTTTTGCAAGTTTTTGCATTTATGTGTGCATTTGAGAATATTTGAGTTTGCTTTTGATGGTTTATTGTGCATAACACATAAGATCACCTACCGAGAAGTACACCTAGAAACACTGCTAAAAGTAAGTTGTTTAGATGTTGTTTATAGACCTTAACTTGTTTATAACCCACAACATTGCTTTAAAGTCAGACCAACCCTAAAATGGTCATACACTTGTGCTAGTAATGAAAGGGTTACTGATCTGATCCCTGTAAGGAGTGAGCCATGAGCTGGGAGTCACTTTGGATAAAGATGTCTGCTAAATGACTGCTTAATCTGTAACCTTTACTATAGATTACAAAAAAATAACCTTGAATTTTTGGTCAAGTGGTCTGGGCCTGTTAGGTTGCCAGTTTGCACAATGCACTTTTTAAAATTCCAGGCACCTCCCTATATCTGTCACTGAATAACCGGCATCCTGATTCACTTCCAAATGCATCCCTCCACCCTCACATGAGCTGCATGCACAACTAGCTCCAAACCTGTCTAGAACAGCATCCCTGTGAGGGTGTCTAGACCCCAGAGGCCATGAGCATGTTTTCATAGAGCCAAATGGTTCAAATAAATGGTCTACATCAAGGCTCAGCTCTCCTTGAAGAAAATTGAATAATTTCAGGATGTGGAAGATGAGGGGATGGATTTGTTACTGTGTTTTCTCTTTCTCTCTGAAATCTTATTGAAGGAAAAATACAGAACAGCAGAGTTGGCTTTGATATGAATAATGCACATTTTATTTAGACCCTGATTGTTGGAAATCGTTAAGTCAATAATTAATTAACCATACTTGGCCACAAGTCCTTTCCTTTCCTTAAAGTTTGGAGATTTACATTACACTACATTTTATGATTCCTACCTGTTGTTCTGGATTCAGTGCTATTAAATTTAAATATTGTACAATGACAATATTGAAGATCAATTTTATAAGGTCTGAAGTTCAAAGTATGATATACACAAATGTATTTGTGCATGTTTATTTTAGTTTTTTTTTTTTTACTAAAAGCTAAATAAAAATCACCTTTTGCTTGTTCTGGCAAAATGTAACAAAAAATAAATAAAATAAGACAAGTTGATTAAGTTTAAATATTAAAAAATATCTAAAGGTCTTAAAAGTATCTAAAGGTCTGTATCTATGGTAACATGGCAGCTTTTTTTCCAGGACCGGGCTCCGTATCCGGGAACTCGTCGCACGGCAACCACTACTCTAACTCTGGATGTTTCGGATGGAGATGATCTGGGTCCCATGTTCCTCCCATGTGTTCTGGTCAGCAACACACAGGACTGTAACCCTATCACATACCGTCTGGCCATTCCTGAGCTCACTGACCCGGTAAGAACTTGCAGAGAACCTCAGAGGTCTTTAAATGCTGAATAGTCACTTGATACATTTATTTTCCAACTGGATCTTGAAACAGGTAGCTTTTTTTTATGATCTACCAGCTCTTACAGACTTGACCAGGGTTGATCTACTAGGTTGATCTACTGTTGGACCATCTAATGATCATGGTTTCTAGCTGGTCCCAGTTGGATATTTTGAAACCATTTAAAACCAGCTGCCACCTTAAATTTTTACCTGGATTATCGAGTAAGGATGTTGTCAGAGCCTGTTATTTGCCACAAGCTGCAACCATGATTCTGTATTGAGCATCTGGCATAGCTAGGTATAAAGGCAGGAAGATGTCTTGTCTGAAACACTTCACCTGTGACCCACTGAGCCGGACAGGGTGACCTGAGGCTATGCAGTGGGCAGCCCTGGATAGATGCTCTCTTAGAGAAAGACTTGAGTGCTTGAGAACAGGGTATGTGCATGACATTGTGCCTTGAACTATAAAGAAAAAAAAAAGCTATGCACTGTATGTGTATTAATAATTCAGCCACACACAGCAAGCCTACACTCTAAAAAATGCTGGGTTGTTTCAATCCAACCTTGGGTCAAAAATGGACTAACCCAACTTTAGGGTTAAAAATGTAATTAAAAAATGTAACCCAACGGTTGAGTTAGTCCATATTTGACCCAAAGTTGGGTTGAAACAACCCAGCATTTTTTAGAGTGTATGGACCACTCATTGATTGTTTGCTACCGTTCAAAAGTTTGGGGTCGGTAAGATTTTGTAATGTTTTTGAAAAGAAGTCAATTATGACCACAAAAGTTGTATTTGTTTGATTAAAAAAAGTAAAAACAGTTATATTGTGAAAAAGTATTGTAATTTAAAATAACTTTTTTAAATAATATTTTAAAATGTAATTTGATTTCAAAGCTGAATTTTCAGTGTCACATGATCCTTCAGAAATCTTTTTAATATGCTGATTTGTTACTCAAGAAACATTAATATTTTTGTGCAAACTGAGCATCATTTTTTACTTTAAAAGAACAGCATTTATTCGAAAAAATAATTTTTTGTAACATAATAGATGTCTTTACTGTCACTATTGATCAATTTAATATACCCTTTTTTAGAAAAAAAATGCTTACCTTAAACTTGTGAATGGTATAAAATAAAATTATAAATGGTGAATGGTATAAAAAATTATACATTTATGTTATATAAGCATGTTTGACTGCAGAATTCAGCAATTGAGAGTTTTTTAGAGACTCCAGTAATTTTTATAATGTAACATTTTGTTACATTTGTAATATTCATGTCTTGTTTGTGGACACTTGAAGGACATTTTGATGTCTTCACTGGACGTTGTATGGACAAGCTCATGTGTAAAGCTCAGTAATTGTGTCATTGTGTTGTTGGTGATTTGTTGACCCTACACCGGTTAAATGTCAGTCCTGTCATATTTCCCATCACATGCGTTGCTCTACTGACCTGTGCTTGGCTAAATATGAGACTCATACAGCAGGGGCAGGAAGGGCAAGAAACGAGGGATTTAGATCAGAAAAAGATGTGGCTGATGAAAGTTAGCTGGTACAGATTGAATGAGATCAGGGACAGGGAGTAGAGACAAAGCGAGACGAGACCCTCAATAAAACCACAGGGTTCACCACCCATCAAAGCCAAGACGTGAAGCTTTGATGAAATCATACCCCAGTTGAGGTGTGTTTGGGTGGGCAGACCTTTGAGGAGATGGATCATTATGGAACCAAACCACATGGAGAAAAAAAGAGAGAGTCCAGCACATACAGCCACGGCTGATCTTTGCTCAGGGGGGACTGCCGTAATTTATCCTAAAAAAAATTCCACTGCAAACGCTGCACTCCCATCGGCTGCCAATTTATGCACTGAATAAATGTGCTGCAGATTTGCTTCATTTTGAGCGGTTTCACTTTTCTTTTTGCATTCTGCCTGCTGTAATTTATGTATTTTCACAGAGACAATATCTTTTTGCGTTTCCTGGTGTTCTCTGATTATCTTGAAAATTATAAAGGATTAGTTTGTGAGGAAATCCATTTTACATTTTACATTCATTCTTACATTCAACAGAACAGTGGCTGTGTTTGGAGTAGCACACTACTATTTCTGCAGTAGGCCTGTGTAGTATGAATAATGCATATCCACATTTTCTGTGCAAACATAAAATACTATGAAAAAATATGAAAACAAATCTTTAATTATTACTATTATCATTATTATTATTATTATTATTATGTAATCTATCAAAAGTTAAGTTAAATTGGATTTTGAGAAAGCAAATAAAAAAATTCTTTAAATTCTCATCAAGGCTGCATTTAGTTGATCAAAAGATAAAAACAAACAAGTAAAAACAATAATATTGTGAAATATTATTGCAATTTAAAATAACTGTTTTGTATTTTAATATATATTAACATTTAATTTAATCCTGTGATGCAAAGCTGAATTTTCAGCATCATTACTCCAGTCTTCAATGTCACATGATCCATGATCAAGAAACATTTCTTATTATTATCAATGATGAAAACAGTTGTGCTGCTTAATATTTATGTGGAAGCTGTGATACTTTTTTTCAGGATTCTTTGATGTTCTAAAGAACTCTAAAGAACAGAACCGTATTTATTTGAAATAGAAATATATATATTAAAAAAAACTGTCATTTCTGATCAATTTAATGTGTCCTTGCTTAATAATAATTAAGTAATAATTTCTTATTAAGTTCTCAAAATAATAATAATAATAATAATCTTACTGACCACAAACTTTAATTGTAGTGTATCTTTATTTATTTGTTTGTTTGAGATGATAACTCATCTCGTTAACTAAATTAAACATAATGATAATGGGGTCATGTGACAGAAATATAGCATACTACTATTTGAAATAACTATGTTTTGAGTGGGTGCATTATGAAAATATTTTAAAAGTTTTATGATACATATTGTCACATAAACTCATTACCTTGCATGTTTATTTCAACCGTGGCTTTCATCTATCTTTTTATACAGTACAAACTGAAAATTCACATGCTACACATGGTACTGCAGGGATTTCAAGAGTAATATTTTAATAAGTTATTGTAAACACATCCTGTATCAATGCATAATGCATTCTTTTTCAGATACTATTTTAAAATAATACTGGCCAGTAGTCAATGTGTGCTGTGCAGTATGCAGTGAGCATTATGCTACAATTCCATTCCCAACATAGATTCTCTCTCATTTCCTTTGGCAGGAATAGTGGTAATTAATGAGGTCACATATTTCACAATTAGAGCTGGGATATGATTCGAGTCTTTTTCCTGTCTCTAGGCACAGATTAATCGGCCTAATGCCTGCTGGAGGGGGGGTTATGGGGAGTTTTAAATGTGCTGTGCAGTATGCAGTGAGCATTATGCTACAATTCCATTCCCAACATAGATTCTCTCTCATTTCCTTTGGCAGGAATAGTGGTAATTAATGAGGTCACATATTTCACAATTAGAGCTGGGATATGATTCGAGTCTTTTTCCTGTCTCTAGGCACAGATTAATCGGCCTAATGCCTGCTGGAGGGGGGATTATGGGTAGTTTTAAACGTCTCAGGTGGGCAAGAATTCTAATTTACTGTGCTGACATATTTAACATTGAGCTCCTGTATTTACGCTGCCATTTTAATGAAGCACCCATCGCAAAGGAGATGCTTCTTATTATCATATCTGTTAGAGGCCGTATTTGTCTGCACGAAATGCACACTCATCTGTAGAGCACATGATTCATACAATCAAGTGTCCCAAGAGCTTTGCTTTTAGCCCAGAGGAAAACGTTGTACCTCAGTGGATGCTCTTTCATAGCTTGAGACTTAATGGAGATCTCAAAATGTTTTATGTATCAGCTTTGTTTCAGATGTTTCTCCTACAATTTGGAGAAATAAAAGTAGACACAACGTTGTACTATCTGTTCATATTATTTAATGGACCTGAGCTAATATGAACTAACAGTGAACAGCTAAACTTGTGTTAACAAAGATGAATAAATACTGTAACAAATGTGTTGCTCATTGTTACTTAATGTTAGTTAAAGGAATAGTTCACCCAAAAATGAAAATTTGCTGAAAATGTAATCAGCCTCAGGCCATCCAAGATGGAGATGAGTTTGTTTCTTCATCAGAACAGATTTGGACTAATGTAGCATTACATCACTTGCTCACCAGTGGATCCTCTGCAGTGAATGGGTGCCGTCAGAATGAGAGTCCAAACAGATGATAAACACATCACAATAATCCACAAACAATCCACATGACTCCAGTCCATCAAATAATGTCTTGTGAAGTAAAAAGCTGCGTGGTTGTAAGAAAAAAAATCCATCGAGGCATTTTAACTTCAAAATGTTGCCTCCAGCTGAAATATGAGTCTTCTATCCAAAATATTGCTTTCTCCAGTGCAAAAGTCATGCCATCTGAATTAGGAGAGAAATATGCATAGATCAATCATTTATAAGAGAAAACAGTTCAAAAAAATATGTTGGTGGATTTGGATGTAAGAGGACAACATGGGAGGATGGACTTTTTCCACTGTGTTTTTATGAACTATGGCCAGAAGTAATGGTTTAAAGTTAAAACTCCCTTAACTGATGGACTGGAGTGGTGTGTATTACTTGTGGATTATTGTGATGTTTTTATCAGATGTTTGGACTTTCATTCTGACGGCACCCACCCATTCACTGCAGAGGATCCATTGGTGAAAAAGTGATGTTTAATTTCTCCATTACTGTTCCAATGAAGAAACAAACTCATCTACATCTTGGATGGCCTGAGGGAGAATAAATTATCAGCAAATTTTCATTTTCGGGTTAATTATTTTTTTAATGCATGAACTAAAATGAACAAATTAGACCTTATTGTAAAGTGTTAACGAGATATAAAATGATGTGGATGGCATTGTTCAGATTATTTGGTCTTGGAAGAATTTGATGAGAAATGTTTGAGTCCAGACTAGGGTGAAACCATAGATATAAAAAGATACTGAAATCATTTAGCCAACTCTGATTTCTTTTTTTACCCCCATAGTCATTTATTCCTGTCTCCTTTTTTTCCAGAGTAAACTGAACCCTCTGAATGTGACACCTCCCATTCGAGCCATTGACCAGGACAGAAACATCCAGCCGCCCTCAGACAGACCCGGAATCCTGTACTTCATACTGGTTGGTAGGTACTTCAATTCAAGTATTATACACAATACACAATATACATAACTGCACTCTTAACTAATGTTTCCATACATTTGAAAGAGAAACTCAGTTCTTTAATAAATGTGTTATTAGGGTTTAATAGGATGTGCTGTTGTTGTTCTGTCTTTAAAACAGCAGACTGCATAAGTTCAGATAGGAAATAGGAAATTTCCTTTCTATGTATTCAATAGCTTAGTATAAATAATGGCATGAATCAGATAATAGCTCAAGTTTTGTGTCTCTCTCTGTACTGCGTTTCAGGTCAACCTACTACATATCCAGAATTCTTCTCACTCAACAGGAGCACGGGTGAGCTGCGGCTGCTGAAGCCTGTGGACAGAGAGCTGTACCAGCGCTTCAATCTTGTCATTAAGGTCATTATATCATCATCAGGTTGTCTTCTACAGATAGCTGTGAAGATAGGAGTGGTTCATCTAACGCCCTGCTCAGCACCTCCAGAGGCGTTTATATTTAAGCATCAATAAGAGTATCATCATTTTTACAGAATTGCTGGTTGAATGTTTTACGACCAGACAAACACCCGGTATTAACCGCAGTATATTTCTGGAAATATTCTCTTCATATTGTAGCAATAGTATCAGCAATTGAACACACTGTCTGTATGTACACGCTATCACTATGGTTCTGTTTAAAAACCTAGTGAGCTGTCTATTTAGGAAGCATTTTAAAGCATTGCATTCGCTGTCTTGATGCAAAGGATGCCATAAAAGGTACACAGTATAATTATTTTAAAAATTATTGCAAGGCATCATTGCATATATACTTTTGTGGAAAATGCAGTTCCACAGTGCATTTGTGACAAACTTACAAAGAAAGAAAGTGAAATGCTCTATCATTATAATTCATTCAGTACTAAAAATATTAACAAAACATACATACTGTTCAAAAGTTAGATATTTTTTTAAGAAATGAGCAAGAATGCATTAAATTGATCAAAAGTGAGAGTAAAGGCATTTATAATGTTTCAAAATGATATTTCAGCATTTTATAATGCTGTTCTTTTAAAAATGTATAATGGTTTCCACAGCAATATTAAGCAGCACAATTGTTTTCAACATTTCAGAAAGATCATGTGACATTGAAGACTGGAGTAATGGCTGCTGAAAAATCAGCCTTTCCATCACAGTAATAAATTACATTTTAAAATATTTTGAAATAGAAAACAGCTGTTTTGAATTGTAATAATAGTTCACATTTTTACTGTATTTTTGACAAAATAAATGCAGCACTGGTAAGCATGAGACTTCTGTTGAAAACATCTTTCCAACCCCAAAATTTGAACAGTAGTGTAGTTCTGTCTAATTAAAAATATACTATTTTACCCAGTTTTTGTATGTGCTATATATTTTTATGCTTTTATCACATCATTAGTTTAGCACTGAAATCGATCAATCATTCTGGTTCCCCATGAGCTTTGTGCAAAGAGCGCTATTTGTATGCCTCACAGTTTCTGCGTACTGTATGTAGAGCGTTCCATTTCAGTTAGGATGCTGCCTTTGTAGGTGGTAGACAGCGAGGCAGCTCACTAGCTTTTGGAATAGAGCTTTGTATATTTAATTACATTAAACATGTTGTATCTTTTAATTGAAATGAGCTGGAAGAGCGAGAGCAGAGGGAGAAATTGAAAAAAGGAAGCGAGCGCTGGTGTGAAATTATTCTGCTCTGTCATAGATTTGGGTAGCACAACAGTGTAACAGCAGGGGTAATTTAAATGTTTCCTCTGAGAAACGATGCATGACTGTGTTTGCTGTTATGATTTCGTTGTTTCATAATAGCAAAGAACGATATGCTATTCTCAGTTCGCTTCAAGCTTGCTGAAATTCGAGACCAAATAACAAACAAAATATTGCCGCTGTCAACATTGTCAGATGTCTGAATTAGTGTGTTTCAAATGTGTGAATTGGCTTTTGAGTTACTGAGCTGCAGTCTTTCATGGATTCTTAATGAAATCAGTGATAGACGGGCTCATAACGGAAATGAAAATATTCAGGGAGATGTATCCACATATTCCTCTTCAATAAACAAAGACCAATTTTGAGCCGTTTTAGGTCCATGAATTTTGAATAATATATTAAAGGGGTCATAAGATGCGATTTCAAGTTTTCCTTTCTCTTTGGAGTGTTACAAGCTCTTGGTGCATAAAGAAGATCTGTAAAGTTGCAACGACTAAAGTCTCAAATCCAAAGAGATATTCTTTATAAAAGTTAAGAGTCAACCACGCCCTCCTAAAACGGCTCGTTCTAACACGCCCCCACATGTCTACGTCACGATGTGGAAATATTAGCATAATGCCGCCCAAATGTGCACGCAAGGAAAGAAGGCGTGGTTTCAGGAACAGCAGTAGTGTTGATGCAGCCATGTCAGGGAGACGCTGTGTATTTCAGTGCTAAAGCAAAAGCACCTTATTTGGCCTTCCGGAAGTAGAAGCAATTAGTAATCATTGGTTAAGATTTATTTACAACAGAACAGCAAATATCAAGGCAACATTTTATATTATTTAAATGTACTAAAATAACTCAAGCTGAAATGAAAAATATATAGACAAATAAAAAGTATGATAAAATGACAATAACATTTTTTTATTTTTTGTAATTTTATAAAATTTTTTGGGAAATTGAAGCTTGGTAATGTCTTTTTCGATCAAGGTAGCGTGGTGTGAATTATGGTAATACCATGGTACTTCAAGTTACAAAAGAATACCATGTAAATAGTGTTATTTGAATCTGGTAATCATTCATTACCACTATAATGTCATCAGCATTGTAATGTTTGTACGGAAAACCAGCAGATTATAGTTTGTTTTCAAATTGAAAGTGTGTCAAGCTACATTCAACCATATGACAACAACCTTAAACTTTTCTTTTTAGAGAAATTTGAGAGTTTATATTGTTTGTTTGTGAACAGGCCGAGCAGGATAACAGTCACCCTCTTCCTGCATACGCTAACCTGCAGATTGAAATTCTGGATGAGAACAATCAGGCGCCATATTTCCAGCGCTCCTCGTACCAGGGCTTCATCAGTGAGTCTGCCTCGGTTGGCACCACCATCTCAGGGAGCACCAACCTCACGGCCCCGCTGGGCATCATCGCACTGGACAACGACATAGAAGAGGTGAGATGTTCTCATGAAAAGTGCCAGGACATTTTCACAATGTTGCTGTCTTGGGAATGCAAAGATACATAAATCACAGATGGTTTCAGTCTCTCCATATGTTTTATATTGTAGCTGCTGCCAGGGGCCACACCAGTAGGTACCCGAGTGACGTGATGTGTGCCCTCTTTTGTTTTGTTTTCTTTTATTTTGTATTTATAATATAATGGTTTGACAAATGCAGTGTTCTTTCCTTTGATGCTGTGTTTCCTATTAATACAGGAAGCTGGACATTTTTGAATAGTTTGTCTCTTTTTAGCCAATAGGCTTTAATTTGTCACAGCTGTAAGCCATTGCTTGTTACACTTTGTTGCTAGTTAAAATAGGTGGTAATGAGGCAGACATTTTCATTCTAAATAGCATTTGACTTCACAAAAATGCAGCATTAACATTATATGAGTTAACTTTATATTTATAGTTTTCCTGCAAAAGAGAGATTGTAAATTGTATATACAAATGTTACCCAATGTTATCCTGGGTTGTACATAGTGTAACTATGCAAAACATGAATTATTTAGATTTTAATGAGTCTTTAATTGAATAAAAAAAATGCGGTTACACTTTATTTTAAGGTGTCCTTGTTACAGTGTAATTATACATATAAGTACTGAGTAATATTATTTAACTACATGTACTTATTATATGGTTAGGGTTAGGATTTGGGTTTGGCTTAGGGTTACTTGCATGTAATTATGCATAATTAATTGTTATTATAATAGTAAGTACATGTAACGTGTAAAACGGACACCTTAAAATAAAGTGTTACCAAAAATACAATTAAAACTTGCTAGTAAAATTATACTCTTGAAAAATTATTTGTGTGATAAAAGTACCAGATTTACATAAGTGGAATCTTATTTCAAAAATGTATTTTAAAAAGCAAACAGTCAAACAAACAAACAATAAATACATAAATAAATAATATGTATATAATAATTTATAATTTTGTATGCATAAACATATTTTATATACATCTCTCTCTCTCTCTCTCTCTCTCTCTCTCTCTCTCGCGCTCTCTGTCTATGACTGAATTAATAAGTCATAGACTGAATAGATGAGATAAATCAATAGACAAACTAATGCAGGTGGTTTGCAGAAAAACAGCTTGTATTGACATATGATCAATTTTAATGACACAGCAGTTTTGTCAGTTTAAAATGTGCATGTACTTCATTTTCTCTCTAGATTTATACATTACATTTTGACTTTTGAATTCTCTGGACTTTCAAACAAGCAGTTAAAGCTGTTGTATTTCTGTTGAGGCTCTTGCATGTTAGAGTGAATAAGGTGGTCGAGTGACTCTTGCGTGTTTATGCAACCTGAGGATTGCGTGACTGCATGAGGTTTGTGTGGACGGTGTGTCATGCTCATATTAATGTGTGGTAATGCTGCATTTGACCTCTCATCATTGTTTGTTTTGTGAAGACAAAAGATCCTCAGCTGAAGATCACTCTGAATGACCACACCTCCATCTTCTCCATCACGTCTACTGGCATCACACGCTACCTTACTCTGCTGAAACCAGTGGACCGAGAGATACAGACCAACTACACCTTAACGGTACGTTGCACGCACAAACATATATTACATTTCATCCCAAAATCAAAAGAAAAAAGTCTTGTATTTTGTATAAAGCAAAAAAAAGTCTTGTATTGGCCATTAAATTATTTTCATTGTAACATTATTTTCATGGTATTTAAGGACTTTTTATGTATTGAAATTCATAGTATAATTGGTGGTGATTCTCGTTTCTGTATCAATGTCATTTGTAATATATATTAGAGGAAAAAGGTCAGTAATTAATATTTAAATCAACCTAAATGAAATATATTAATGCTAATATGTTTAAATATATAATATATGAAAATTGCATTTTTAAAGTATAAAATGTTTAAATTAGGGATGCTCATATTGACCTTTTAACCATTAAGCGAAAGTAAGAATTTTGACAGATTAATACTATCAGTTAAACGGTATAAAAGTTTTTAAGTTTGCTGCATTGTTAAAGAAAAATATTTTATACATATTTTTTAACTTGCGGGGTCATGTCAATATGTGCAACCACACGTGCCTACAAAAATATTTCGCTGCGTAAGCACCTGCTCCACTTTCACTTAACTGAAGTAGTAAAGGTAACACAATGGCAAAAGGCAATATTGGATAAATGATTATCAGAGAGTGAATCTGTGAGTCAAATTCTGAATGGGTTATAGCCTAGAAAGCTTGCAAAGAGCGCTCCCCCTTATAATTATTAAAAAGCTGTCACTCATCTCAGTTCGTCGCGATCTCACAAAGTTCCTTTATATTCAGTGAAGCTCTACACTACTGCACAATTAATCTCTTATTTACATTGTGTGTACATTTTGTTTGTTCTAATGAGAGGATTCGCGAGCGTGAGCAAAACTGAACAAAACTCCTGCTTTATGAGTGGTGAGTGGATCCTAACTTAAACGCCGCTGATTGGCCACTGCGTTCATGAAATCAACAGATATGTATGTGATTGGCTACAGTGCTCAACACTGCAGAAACCGGTGTTTTCTGCTGTGGGACAGGCTGCGCTCCACACTATGCCACACAGCGTCGACATCTTAATTTTTTAAAATAAAAACTAGACAAGTTGTGCACTGAGGTAGGCCTGCTATTTATTTTAATGTCTGATGAAAAAACATGCGGTACTTCAAAGCGCATAGAAGGATTCAGTGTGTGTTTTTGTTTTGTCATCTTAATTTGTTAATTATTTAAGTGAAAAATATTTAGTGTAGACCTATTTATTTTGTTATTTTTATTTATATTATTTTATTAGGTTTTTCTTTGATCTCAGAAGCGCTGCAGGTGCGTGATAATTTGACTATGTGTGAATTGAGGTTATGTTGTTGCTCTGTTCTGTATCCTACTGTTTACACACGTTAAAATAAACCCGTGAAAAAATACATATTTTTGTAGGCTATTTGTAATGGGTCACAGACTCTCAACCATTATATTATTTGTTTAATACTAATTTAATAATCTAATCTTATCAGTTAATGGTTAATGTTCAGATAATTAGCGACGTTTGTCGGTCTGGAAATTTACCAAAATGAGCATCCCTGGTTTAAATGCATTTTAATATATAAAGTAAAAAAGATGTATTATATATA